TTGATTACATGCATGTGTCATTGCATATTGGAGTGGATGAATTTTATTGAAATATTCAGAGGTTGGGAAATGGAAATGGAAACTAGTTTTTGTGTGGTTGAGTTCGACTCTCGTAGGTACCAGCAAGAGGCAAAAGTGAATTTTTAATTTTTATTTTGAAAAGATGCGATTATGTATTAATTATGGTTGAAACCCAACAAGGTTTAACCCAGGTAGTACATCAAGGATTACAGAGAGAGATTACAAGCAATCCTCAATGAGGAGATCCAAAATGAAGGTAGGAGGGTCTCCAACCACTCACAAGGACTTCTAATTGAAAGAGCATAACGAGCAAGCTGCAACTATGTTGGCCTGGCGGCGGATGTGGGCAAATAAATCTTCAATGACTGCAGGGAAGAAAGCTTTGGTATCCTCCACAACTTGACCGAGAGTTTACCAATTCGAGGAGGAGTCCGAGAGCTCCCCAACAATGTGAAGAGGATCACCTTCAATTTGTAAATTTGTAAAACCCCTTACCACTGCCCAAAACAAACATTCTCTAGCCACTAATTATGCCTCAGCGTGTAAAGCGGAGTAGATATCAGGGAAGTTCTTGCTCGCAGCAGCCACAAAAGTTCCAGCGTCATCCCTAACAATCATTGAGCATTCGGGATGATTGAGTTACGAGTGTTAGTTTGTAGAATAGAGCATTCGAACCACCACTGCAGTAGTAAAATGAATGGTATGAGACGTGCAGGTCCGCGTGTTTTATTATATAGATTAACGGATGGGTAATTAAAGTTAAGCTACATACATGGTTTATTAGTTAAATGGTTACTACCGTGACTTGCCACTAGTTATCTCCATTTTTAAAGAAAGAAAAAATGATCACATGTTATAATTAATTACGTGTTGCATTACACTTGGTTTAGCCTTGACAATTATTATAGATAAGACCTATGTCCCTACTAACGGTGGTTTCACTCACCCTATCCATTTTAGACATTGTAGGGTCGACACAGGACATGTGTTAGATGAGCTGAGGTTGTGTTAGACAAGAAAGATTTAAGGGTTTCATTTATTTTTGTACATCTTGTACTGGTTTTTGGAGTTCTTATTATAAGAGAAGTTCATCCTTTTGTTTTATTTTACTTTTTACTCACGCAACGAGCACAAAATTAATTTTTCCACCGATCCTGAATCTGAGGCGTGACATAATGGTATCAAAGCATTAATTTTGTTGACAACACATTAGCCTTAGCAAGCCATCTATATATCTTACTTGTCAAGTATCTACATACTCATATGACACTTCATGTGATGATGTGGCACTCACCTATCATGAGTTGCCACTTGGCTTTGCATCTCATGACTCATAAGTCATGTGTTCCTTCTAAGAGAAGTTTGGTTTTTTGTTTTATTTTTTCCACGTGTATTGGGTAGGGGGTTAAGTTTTCCACTGACCCAGGGTCTAGGGCATGACACAAGACCATAGAGAGTTTAACTATGATGTGTTGGATGACTTTGTTGCTATTAATGAAGAGCTTTGCTGTTGAGATTAAGTTGTTCTTTTAATAGGATTATACTGCAGAACTATAAATTTAATAGGTTTCTTTGATTTTGGCACAAGGTGCAAGACTGGTGCATATTTTTTTGTGTAATTTGCTAACTTTATTAAAGCACTCGAAGTGCAAAACTAATTCTTGTAAAAATTGTTGATTTCGTTTTGGTAAATTGGGCACAAAGCCAAATATTTTGCAATTACTAATTAGACTTTCATGGTTAATTCAAGCAAAAGGTGTACGGAGCGAATTAGCGTAAGAGAAAAAGATGGGAAAAATGTAGAATGTCCACATTAGGGATAAAATTATTTTTTTTCCCTTAGACAATTGGCATGTGTCGCACATTTAACTGAGTTGGATGGAAAATTGGATGAAAATTGCTCAAATCTAACTTCAGGGGTTCAATTGGCTAAATTTACAATTTAAAGAGTAATCGATTGAAATTAAAATTCAGGGGAAAATTGACAGTTCTTTATACAAATTTAGTGGGAAATCGCTATGAATATCTCTCCTTAATAACAGAGTAGAAGATTTAAAGTAATTAGTAATCATCCATAGAAGGTAATCATGTCCAATGAGACAAAATGCCAACGGTAAGGGCATGCTAATAAGCCACTTGAATCCATAAACAAACAGAAATTGCACCAACCAAAAAAATAAATAATAAACTGACGAGGGACGAGGTAATTAGCATAATGCAAGTCTAGCGACTCACACCTCAAAGCAATGCCCATAGTCAAATGGTCAGTTCGAATTTAAGTTTACATAAGGAAAACATGAATTGAATACATGAGGAAAACATGATGCCAATGTTTGTTCGCATTAGTAAAACATGAATTGAATACATAATTGAATCACAACAAGGGAAAACTGAATTCCTACTCGTCCTCATCGTCATTTGTTGCTCCTAGTGTCGTCCTTAAACTCCACCTCCACAATTTTTTTGAACTTTTTGAACTCGATCTTGATCTTGTTTCTCTTCGCTTTCTATACATCCAACCCTATTGAAGGTTTTGAATATCAAATTCTAGGTGTGAGATCCTTCGGAGTGTGCAAGTATGCTATCTTCCACCGCAAATAGCTTTTAGCATTCTTCTGGAGATTCGTTTTGGCCCCTTGATAGCCTTTCTCGATTTTTCCATGGACCGGAGTTGGCGTAGTTTCAAGAAATTGAAGTCACTACACCAACTCCGGTCCGTGGAGTTATCGGGGAAGGCTGTCCATGAGTACAAAACGAATCTTCAGAAGAATGCTAAAAGCACTTTGCAGTGGAAGATAGCTCATTCCAGTTTTACAAATCAATCCCGCATAAGTTGTTTTCCCATCAAAATTGCACAACTGTGAGAGAATGAAGATTTGAAGGCTTTCTCGATTTTTTCCAGTGACGTGCGATAAATGCATGGAAAGATAAGATATATAGCTACGTTTTCCATATTTTTACATAATTTTCTAGAAGATAAATCGACCCCAAAACTGGTGTACAATACAGATGACGTGTTTCCCAAGTAAGGTTTATGATGAAGCCATGACATGAATATTTGTGAAGTACTTTGTCAATTATTATCCGATTATATGCCATGTTATATTCTTAACCTTTGTGTGTATTTTATTCTAGGTTCGAATTTCTAATGATTGATCACCTTCAGGAATTTTGCATCTAGATAGTTAGATAAATCTATGAGGATGACCAATCAATTAGGTTTATTGGAATTAAGATTAAGAAGAGTAGACAAATTAGTGAGGATGACCAATATCAAGCTAGTCCTACTTGGTTGACATGATTCTTTTATGCTTAATGGGTTTTTATGTGTTCAATTGTATGTCTAACCAATAGAATATAATTATCATGTAGAGATATAAGAGTTGATGCCTGACCACGGATTAATTCATACCTTAGAAAGAATAACCTTTAACATTGGCATGGTAATTGGATAGTAGTTGGCTAAGAAAAGTAAATAGGATTGTTATTGGTGAATTCATAACCTTAGGTTTTCTTGTCATTTGCTTATTTTAATTAGTTGTCTTTTCTTTTTCTTATTAATTTTAGTGTTAATCAATTACTCAATTATTCGATTCAATCTATCCTTTGTTTGTTTAATTAAGTCTAGCATGCTTAATTGGTTAAATTGGTATTAAAAGCAATCCATGTGGGGTCGACCTTGTATTTGCATATATTGCTACAATTGATTTGTGCGCTTGCGAGTTTAATTTGGTTTAAATTAATCTATTATTTAGGTTAGTTTAAATATACATCAAGTTTTTGGCGTCGTTGCCGGGAATTGCCCCTTAATTCCAATTCAGCTTGCTAATTGCGCTTTACTTAATTTTTCTAGTTTAGTTTTCATAGTTTTTTTTTTTTAAATTTATTTTATTTTTTTAAAAGAAAAAGAAAACAAAAACCAAAAAGGTTGCGGTACCCACTGTATGATTCTCTTTGTGCTGGAATTCTTTGTCCATTAGTTATTAGGCTTATTGGCACTGCCTTCTTTTAAGTTCTTTCCCTTACATTTCTTTTACGAAATATTTAATTTCTGTTTATTATTTTCCTTTTCCATTGTTACTTTTTAATTTCGTGTCATTGTTTCCCGTTGTAGGGAAGAGATAGCTTGGCAGCAATTTTCAATGGAACATTGGCCTTCTAGTGCTCAATTCTCAAAGTTTATGCATGAAGCCACACCCATGGAACCCAAAAAACCTTCATGGGAAGAAGCTTTTGCATTGATGGTTCAAACTAATATGCAATATCAGCAACCAACAACTCAACTTTTGCAAATTCTCACTCAAGGACATCAAATTCTCCAACATGGAGAGCAAGAAAATGAGCAATCGCAATTTTGGAGAAGCAAGTTGGTCAAATTGCTGCGATATTGAGTAAAAGAGACTAAGAAAAATTTCCAAGTGAATCCAAATCTAATCGGATTGAGCGAGATGTATTCCATGAAGAAGATAGTGTCTACACACATTGAGAAGTGAGGAGGACTTCAACAACGAATTGAGTGAACTAGCTGTAGTTGAAGAAAAGAAAGAGTATTCAATGTTGGAAGACCATCTGCATGATCTAACTAATCAAAGTTCTTCAGAAAGTGGCTTCTCGTTGGTTGTGATTTGACTAGTTAGATCATGCAAATGGTCTTCCAACATTGAATACTCTTTCTTTTCTTCAACTAAAGCTAGTTCACTCAATTCGTTGTCGAAATCCTCCTCACTTCTCAATGTGGTGTAGGCACTATCTTCTTCATGGAAGACATCTCGCTCAATCGGATTAGATTTGGATTCACTTGGAAATTTTTCTTAGTCTCTTTTACTAAATATTGCAGCAATTTGACCAACTTGCTTCTCCAAAATTGCGAATGTTTGGGCATTTTCTTGCTCTCCCTGTTGGAGAATTTGATGTCCTTGAGTGAGAATCGCTAATATGCAAGTTCAAGCTAATATGCAATATCAGCAAACAACAACTAGCTTCACTTCCATAGCAACAGTCCACACTTTTAGAAACCAGCAGGAACCCCACCTTTTCTTGGATCGCTCACTGCCACAATCTCCAGAATGCATCCATTATCCTTCAAAGCCTTTATATCTTGAACTGTAAACTGGCAAATAGCCCCAGGAGGAGAGGCTCTAGGACTTGGCCCTTCTTTTGTAAGACTCCTAGTTTGAGCAGGAACTTCAAAGTGATCGCCAGTCACGGACGTCCAGTTCTCATAATGAACCACATCAGGTAATAGCTGCTTATACCGAAATTCTTCTTATCAGTAGGTTTAATTGATAACTAAATTAAAATTATGACTATTGAAGGAGGAAACCTCTCTTTTAGTCAAACAAAAGACAGCTCAATGCAAGAAAAAAGATTGAGAAAAGTTGTATGGGAACCTGATGATAGACCCTTGGAGCCATGACAGAAGAGAGTGGATCCATTCCCCTTGCAAAATGGTTTACGAGAACCTCTGCAGTCACAGGAATGATCAAGGCTCCCCCACTTGCACCCACGACAGCTTTTAGTTGGCCATCCTGTCACGCATATAAACAAGACGTTGAATGTAGGTTTGAAATAATACGACCACTCTAGTACGATAATTTATGTCACTCAACTCATTTCCTGATGGACTTTAGCTAGAGAAAAGTATATGTGTAATTGATAAATCTAATCTAGTAGTGCGAAACGCTTTATTCCAACTTAACAAGTGAGTTATCCTACAAGCATTCCCAACTATTAATCCGCTAGCACATGATCAATCTAATTGTATGCCAAAAAACAAATTTTTCATTGATATTTCCGTTGCCTTCATATGTATAGTTCTCGTATCTTTCTCTGTCTTTCTCTCCCATCTACTATTTCTCTCTCTAATAATTTCTCCATATTGGTTACGCATTACCTTTAGGATTATAGCAGGTGTCATGAACGATAATGGCCTTTTTCCTGGCCTGATAAAATTGGGTGGTGCTGGTGGTAGACCTGTAGAATCATTTCCAAGTATAGAGAAGTCGTTCATTTCATTGTTTAAGACAATCCCTGTACTCGACGACAATACATTAGCACCAAAGTATCCATTCACAGTACTAGTCATGGAGATGGCATTTCCCTGAGGATCTATGACAGACAAATGACTGGTGTCGTGGTCATTGATTTTCCTCCACCTGTTAGGAAACGAGTCGTTATACTGACAACTATTGGTTGAGGAGTTTATGTAATAATAGGATATCTACGTACAAGTACAACCAAAGATATGCGACTCGGAGCAAGTTACACAGCGCATTATAGTAGTTTTTAGGCGGTTTTTATATAAACATAGACTAAAATCCCATACATTTCAAACAAAACTTCTTTTAGAAATGTTAAATTATTTTTAACTGCCAATATAAATGCAATAATACAGATGATAATCAATTTAGTGATCTTCTCAACACAAAATTGCAGTAATTTGTAAATGTCGTTGTACGGATGTATAATTTAATTTTATCAAATTGAATTTGGCTACCAATAAAATAACAAATAGTTATCTGAATGTATAATCTAATGAATAATTAACTTCTTGCCAATACTTACCTGCCACCGTAATGGCTGGGATCAAAAGTCATGTTATCATATATACTTTTCTTTAACTCCTCAGCAAACTCAGGAGAAAGCATATCGGCTAGAACTCTAGTCGCATTTACAAACTCAGGGTCACCAAGATTCATCCTCATGGCGAAAGCATGTTTCAATGATTCAGTTTCCCGATGAGTCCAAAGAGAAGCAGAAACTCCAGAAGCATTTCCATATTGTGAAAGACTGTTTAGCATCTGAGAGTGGAATTGACCAGGATAGTTCATAATAAACTTATTAGAAGCTTCAAAAGAGACGACAAAAGAAACAAAAATAATTGCGTAACACTTGTTTAAGAACAAAGATTTAATCACAAGTATCATCGGAGGACCTCCAGAAGGAGGAGGCATAGTCAATATTTTAAGCCCTAATGTGTGAGCAGATACAGGCTTCCTCAACTTAACCTTATAATTTTGCAAATCCTTCATTGTTAGTATTCCTCCAAGCTTTTGAATATCTCTAACCAATTTCGATCCAATCGATCCATTATAGAAGGCTATGGGACCAAACTTCGAAATTTGACTGAGTGTCTCTGCCAGTTTCATGTTACAGCATGTCTCACCCACGGAAGCCTTCCATGTTGTTTCCAAGATTCATGAAGACCTGCCAGTTCCTTTGGAATTGCTACAGGGAGAGGGCCTTTACCTTTCAGAGTTTCATTGCCAGCATACATATTCTGAAAATAGAAAATTTTGACACAAATAGATACTGTTTGTGTAATTCCAACTAAAAAGGATAAACGCAAATTACCCACATGTGTTCATAGTTGCAAAGACTTGAACCGAAATTATTGAAAAATAGCTAGCATGTTTGTGGATGCAAATTTCTTCCTCTTTCGTCTTGGACAAAATTGTACCTACAAAACAAATAACACTTTAGGTCAAGGTCAAGAGCATCACGCGCTCACGATGAATTTGGTTGGGGGGGCTTTAGCTGAAGAACCTCCGATGCCAAAGTTAGAATTTTGAGGGAAAAGTGTTTTGAGAATTTAGAGAATTGGCCTTGAGTTTTGTAGAGAATGAGGTAGTATTTATAGGGGTGTGGCCGGCCCCTTTAGGAGGAGGAGGACCGGCCACTTGGTTGGTATTTTGGGTGAGGTTCATGATTTGTAGCTAATTAGGAATAATTGAATAATAAATCAATTAATTAGGTAATTAATAGAATAATTTCCTAATTGATATAATAAAAGAATAATGATTTGGGAGTTACCTTGTGAAGAGGATTTGATGAAGATGAATGAAATAGGTTTTGAATTATTACCTATTTTGGACACTTTTGACTTGGTTGAGGGATAATTGCCCATTGCTGCGCATAGCAATCTCGGTGTGCCTCGAAGGTAATTTTGTCATTTTCACCCAAAAATCCACGTGTCGTCTTGTGATTATTTTTGGCTCCACAAATGCCCCCACACTTGTTGGGTTGCTCGCAGGAAAGATTAGCAGGTGTAGAAATCTCCAGCTTTGATGCAGATTCTCAGGTGGACTTGGAATTAGATTCTTCTAGGAAAGGGAAATAAATCACCTCCAAAGCCTATTTAAGCCTACCGTAAGTAGGGGATTAAATCAACTTCGGAGGACAATTATTTATCCCTACAAGAAAGAGAGAAAACTTGAGGATATTTGTTCCCCCTCCCGTAGCATTCTTCTTTGCTTGCCCGTGTAAAGAATCGTCTTCCGTTGATTTCTTTGTCTTCTCCGGGTCGCATCGATGTAAGAAAACTTAATTCTCATTGTCTTCTTCTTGGATGGTGTTGTCGTGGGGCAGCTGTTGGGGTGGTGCGGCACGTCGGCTGGCAGGGGCCAGGATGGAGCAGTCGAATGAGCCACGGTTTGGGCTGCCTCGTCTGGGCTGCTTGCCAAAAATAAGGAAACTACTTGAGTTTGATTTCTCAGCTGCTGTAGATGGAGCAGTCGAATGAGTGAACTGTTGAGCGCAAAGTGGCTACTGCCCCATGACCATTTGCTGCCTAGTTGGTCTTCAAGCATTCGATCTTTTGAGTTATGTGGCCTTCTCACACTGGAGAACTTACCCAGATGGGTGTCGGGGAATTGGTTTACCCTCTCACACTAGAGAGCAATTAGTTTACCCTCTCACACTGGAGAGCAATTAGTTAACCCTCTCGCACTGGAGAGCAATTAGTTTACCCTTTTGCACTGGAGAGCAATTAGTTTACCTTTTTGCACTGGAGATCAATTAGTTTACCCTCTCGCACTGGAAAACAATTAATTTACCCTCTTGCATTGGAGAACTATTAGTTTATCCTTTCACACTGGAGAACAATTAGTTTACCCTATCGCATTGGAGAGCAATTAGTTTACCCTTAGTTTACCCTCTCGCACTAGAGAGCTATTAGTTTACCCTTTCGCACTGGAGAGCAATTAGTTTACCTTCTCACACTGTAGAGCTTGAAAGTCGTTGTCGTGAGTGCAGTTAAGGAAAGCTGGACTGCTGGATAACTGAAATAATCTTTAGCTTGCGAGGTCTCGTTTGGTAAACTGCTTGAGACTTTGAATTGTTTATGGAACCCATGTAAGGATGTAAGCGCAATGAGCTGCTCCAGAATTATTGCACCATCATTAGGTGTTTCATCATGTGCCCTTTTGAGGCTTGGTTGACGCGAGCAACATGGCAAAATTGGCACGGCTAGGAGCCGTAGTGCAAAATTGGCACAATTATGAACCATGGTGATAGATCAATGGCTGTCGGGAGTCGTGGAACAGGTAGGCACGGTTGTGAAAGCAGAGCTGGGGCTGGCGTGGGCCAGGTTGTGCACAATAGGAGGAATTGGACCACTAGGTCCTTGATGCTTGGCTACTGGTAATGTGCTACTTCAGTATTGAATCGTCTAGAGTGTTGAGAATAAGGACTGCCCCCAATTTTTGGTAGTTGGGCTTGTGTGTCATTCTGGTACTCGCTTGCCAGGTTGAGCTACTACCTTTGTCAGAACATAAATAATCTTTGTATTTGTAAATCTATATAAGATAGTTTCGTCTGCTCAATCTTGTCATTGAAAGATGACTCGATTATGTTGGTCATGTCTCATCGGAGCGTCTTGTTAGTAGCTTCGTTACTTTGGAAATCGCGTAATCGTTCGGTCAAGAGCCTCTTAACTTCTTCCTGAATTTGTCTTTGTTGGGTAATGGAGCTTTCAGCTGCCCCCGGTCGTGACCTGCTGGTCTAGGCTGCTCTTCTATGTGTTCAGCTCGTCTAGCAGGCGAGCGGGTAGCTCGCAGGCTACTGGTTGAACTTGAGCCAGATTGAGTGACTGCTTCTCTCCATCCGATGTGTTGCCCACTCCAATGTGAAGTAGATGATGCTCCTTGCTGGCATTGCCGCGAATGAACATGTCGCCTGGAAGATTGCTCATGTTGATTATCAAAGTTTGACCCTAACGGTGAGTGTATGCTGGTCTGTGGGCCTAACCGAAAGTGCACGTTCCTCTGCACATTAAGACAAGAGTATACGCTATCTCGGGGGCCAGGTCGAGAGTGTACACTGCTGGAACGCTCAGTTTGTGGTTGGTTGCTTGCCGGGACGTTACTAAAAAGGTTATTCGTCTGCCCTTGTTTTACTTCGGGACTCCTCGTCAAGGGCACGTTGCATATCGGTGTGCTGCAAGAGCTGATTCACCAAGGTCATCTGTTGTGCAAGGGCGCTAGTCAACTCTATAACTTGTCGAGACAAATGTTATTCTCCATTTAGGTTGGAAGAGCTTAGAAGGAATGCGTCTCCTTGAGCAATGGAAGTGTGGTAGACTCCGGGTGCGAGATTTGAGTTGGGAAATGTCAAATCCGCGGAGAAATATGGTGAAAATGCCCCTAGTTCAATCGTAGGCCCAGAAGTTTAAAGCCGAGACGGTTGAACTAATCTTGAACTGATTTGGGTTACTTGGAAGGTCACGTGAGTAGACTGGGCCACGAAAGCAAGATGGGTCGTGGGAGCAGGCTCCATGAGAGTAGATTGAACCACGGGAGCAGGCTAGGCCATGGGAGCAGGCTAGGCCGCAGAAGCAGACTGGGCCACGGGAGTGGGCTACTCGACATGTGGCGCACGTGGGTGTGAGGCTAGGCTTGCATTGCTAGGGCAGCAGCTTGGCTTGTTGCTGCAAAGTGACGTGGGCCAGAGCTAGTGGCTGCCCCACTACCCCTGGTCACCGTGGGCTCACTGCTATGGAGCTGGCTCACTCCCCATTGCCACGGCAGTCCCCGTGGCTGCCATGGTGATGGTGCTCCTTGGTGGTAAAGTTAATCTTCTTGCCATCGTGTTGAGCCTTATGGATCGTCGTGGTGGGGTTATGTCTCGTCCTCCATCATTCGATCCTGATCTTTGAACATAGGAAGTTTCGTTCATCGAGGTTTCCGAATCCTTGTCATTGTACTTTTTTGGAGAATTTACAGAATTTAGCAAGAAAATTGGCCTTCAGTTTTGGAGAGAATGATGTAGTATTTATAGGGTTGTGGCTGGCCCCTTTAGGAGGAGGAGGACCGGCCACTTGGTTGGTATTTTGGGTGAGGTTCATGATTTGTAGCTAATTAGGAATAATTGAATAATAAATCAATTAATTAGCTAATTAATAGAATAATTTCCTAATTGATTAGCTAATTAATATAAGGGTTATTATACAAAATGGTCCCTGATATTTGTATGATCAATAGAAATGGTTTCTAAGATTGAAAATCAATAGAAATGGTCCCTGAGATTGTTCACCATCCATGATTTTGGTCATTCCGTTAAAAACTTTTTGGGCAATTTTCAAAGTTTTGTAACTCAATCTATTCTTAACCAAATTTGACCCATAATAGATCAAAATGTAGATAAGAAAGTGTAGAACAAGATTATACCTATTTGGAAGCCCAATGATTGTCGGAGATGGCCGGAAAATAGCCTGAAAGGTGATTGGTCTGCAGGAAAACTAGAAAACTTGCCAGAAACTGGGTAAAATTTAAACGTTCATAACTTCTTGAATACTCAATGAAATCGAGTGATTCAAAAATGAAAATCATATTTACTGCTAACTTGCCGTGGTTTGGCTTGAAAACTGCTCGAAAGTGGCTAACTCAAAAATGGTTAACCACTTTCGAGTCGTTGTCCGACCAAACCACAGCAAGTTAGCCTTTGAAAAAGGTACCATTCTCTTCGTCTCGTCAAGAAGTATTATTTTCATTTTTGAATCATTCAATTTGGTTGAGTATTGAAGAAGTTACGAACGCTTAAAGTTTACCCAGTTTCCGGCGAGTTTTCCAGTTTTCCCCTCGGACCATTCACCTTTCAGGCTATTTTCCGGCCATCTCCGACAACCATTGGGCTTCCAAATAGGTATAATCTTATTCTACACTTTTCTATCTTCATTTTGATATATTATGGGTCGAATTTGGTTAAGAAACGATTGTGTTACAAAGCTTTGAAAATTGCCTAAAATCGTTTTTAACGGAAGGACCAAAATCATGGATGATGAACAAACGATTGAGTTATAAAGCTTTGAAAATTGCCTAAAATCATTTTTAACGGAATAGCCAAAATCATGGATGGTGGACAATCTTAAACACTATTTCTATTGATTTTCAATCTCAGGGACCATTTTTATTGATCATGCAAATCTCAGGGACCATTTTGTATAATAACCCTTAATATAATAAAAGAGGAATGATTTGGGAGTTACCTTGTGGAGATGATTTGATGAGGATGGATGAAATAGGTTTTGAATTATTACTTATTTTGGGCACTTTTGACTTGGTTGAGGGATGATTGCCCACTGCTTATGTGTAGAAATCCCGATGTGCCTCGAGGGTAATTTTGTCTTTTTAACCCAAAAATCCACGTGTCGCCTTGTGATTATTTTTGGCTCCACAATGTTGTTATTCCTAGTCCTATTATTTGAGAGGAGTGGATTGTTGAACTCTGCATATGCTCTAAAGCTCATTCAAAATCTAAAAGAAGAACTTGCTCATACAATAACGAATTGTTGAATCAAAGAACATATCATTAGTATCAATTCCGCAAAGTTGTTTTTCGACTTCCATTGCCTGCCAAGAATCCTAGTGGAAAGAAAATCTTCTAGCCAATTAACCGATCATTCTAATCTTTGATGACCATAAAATGAATTTTTACATTGAAAAGTGAAGTTTCACATTTTCTAAGGTAAACAAAAATGCGGATGGTTTTTCTTTTCATCAATAAAATGTAATTATCAAAACAGCTAAAAGTGTGATGTTCCTTATCAGAATGTTTCACGCGATGGTGATTATTTGCACTCAAGTGAAAATCAATTGAGGAAAGGAATTCAATAAAGCATGTAGAATACGAACCTCAGAAGCAATTAAAGGTGTAGTTTCTCTTATATCAAAGGCATGTGCTTCCCCATTGGCTAGCCTAATAAGCATGAAGGCTCCGCCTCTAAGCCCACTTGATGCTAGACTCACAACCCCTAAGCAAAGAACAGCAGCTACTGATGCATCAACGACATTGCCACCTTCACGAAAAACATCTATCCCAGTTCTAGAACATCAGAGATCATCAGTGGTAACAGCAGCATGGCGCACTGAAATTACATCTCGCCTACTTTTGACGGAACCACTCATATCATCAAGGCTTGAAAGGAATACAAGTACAATGGTGAACAACAACGGCAACGGATCTGCAAGCGAAAACATATAATTTTGTTGAGTGTTCCTCATCATACAAATCAACAAAGAAGTCCTAACCCTTAAGTCTCAACCAAATGAAATTAAATTGCTAGCAATAGGAGCAGCAGAAACACATGTGTACTATTTTCGTTGTAAATTCAATAGTAGTTTAAAGGTTTTTGAATCTTATTAGGGTGACTTATTTTAGATTATGGGTCAAGTTTCCAAATTTGGACCTAATGACTAATAATAGTCAACTACATAGACTTAGGTGAAAAAAAGCTTAAACATCAAAATGGTCTTGTGTTTTACATTATTGGTCAATTTGGCCCCGTGCTTTTTATTTGGCCAAATTGGTCTCCGTATTTACTTCTGTTAGCCAATTCGTTAAAAAAACCTTAAAATTGACATGTCTTGCGTGAGTTTAATGAGTTTACAATGAAGTTACATTTCTACCATCTCACGTGCAAGACACATCTCAATTTTAACGTATTGTCTAGAATTGGTTAACAAAAGTAAACATGAGATTAGTCTGGCCAAATTGAGAACACGAGAACCCAATTGACCCTATAGGATAAACATAGGAACTATTTTGACATTTAAGCATAAAAAAATCCACTATAGAAATGAAGTTAACATCAATGTCACATTATTGCTAAGTTAGCAACCATTCACACTCTCACAATGTCTTTCATGTATGAAGCATGTGTGTCCGTTAGGCTTCACACATGAACTAACATGCTATGATACCATGACTAAAATTGTGGTTCTACACTAAAACCAATCGACATAATTTTCTGAACAAATAAAAAATGCTTAAAAACCTAATAAAGGAAATAGAGTACGAATAATACATCTTTATCATACAAATGAATAATACATCTCTGTCATAAAAACAAATAAAAAAATGCTGCTATATTTTTAAAACGAATGATGAAATAATTGATCAATCAAGACCCCAATTTCAAAATTTGAGTAAAACAAATCATTGAAACATGTTTTAAAGTGAAAAAAAAAAACAAACAAACAAACTACTTACATGACATATTCCTTTCATATATTTGATGAAATGTTGACAAAATGTGGATTAGGAGTCTGATGACTTTCGAACAAAAACAATAAGAGTGAGAGGAGCATGTATCAAACTATGCTTCTGTTCTATGATTAGTCTTAAGCTAGGTTTATAGAGAAATAAGCAAGAAACAAAATGGGTAAGTTGTTTTTAATTAGTTTTTTAGTTGAATTTGGATTTACTTTTGACTACCAATAGAAGGAAAAGTTAAACAAATTGGAAAGTTTTTCTTTTTTTTTGGAAACTACTTAAAACCAAATTACTCAATTTTCATTTCATTAGGGGTTTTTATCACAAATGATCCTTGAAATTGAACCACTTCATCAAGATGGTCCCCGAAATTGAAAATCAATCAATGTAGTCCTTGAAAATGGATATTGCAAATCAATGTGGTCATTCTGTTACAATTTCGATAAAATTTATGTTATGTGCTTATGTGTTACATAAGTCGGTCCCACAAATCTAATTAAATATTAGCATTTATATTAAAAATACTAAAATAATAATAAATAATATTTTTTTATGTCAAAATATAAATAAAAAATAAAAAACTATTTTTTTTCTTCCGTTGTCTTCCTCGTGCAGGCTTGGTTGCCCAAATCTTTTGCTACTCATTAGCAAGATTGGTGTGAGGTCGTCAACCTAGGCCTCGGGTGCGTTAGTAGATCAGAGGATATGGTGGGGAGAAGGTGGGTGTCAGCGACGTTGGAGTCGAAAACGAAAAAGATGGTTTGGTTTAACTAGGTTTCTATCGTGGTGTATTATGTTTGAATGGATTGAGTGCCAAAAATGGAGCCATGGTGGGCAGGGCTACCATGGTAGCCAAGCCTGTTTGACAAAGACGACGGGAGAAATTTTTTTTAAATTTTTTATTTTTATTTTGACATAATTTTTTTTTATTATTTATTTATTTTTAATTTCATAGTAATATTTAGTTAGACTTGTGGGACCCACTTATGTGACACATAAGCACATAAGACAAAATTTTAACAGAATTGTAACATAAGGAACACATTGATTTGCAGCATCAATTTTCAGGAACTACATTGATTGATTTTCAATTTCAGGAACTCGCTTGATGGGGATGTTCAATTTCATGGACCATTTGTGATAAAAACCCTTTAATTAGTTTCTTATTTGATTTTGGATGTGGTTTTGGATTTTGTGAATTTGATTTGATTTGATTTAATTACTTCAATAGAATGAGAAAATTAGAGTGTGACGGCTACACCACCACTTAATGTAACTAATACACGTCTTATAATATGAGTATGACAAAGTTGTTATATCATAAACCAAGAGTATGCTATTAAATAGATTGAGTATTATAACATGAGTGAATCAATTATATGGGTAAATGGATTCAACTACTTATCTCTAATTTTATTGCTAAAACAATCCCAATTCTATGTTCAATAACTATAATTCAAAGCCTCGATTGTCGCTCTTGCATATTAATGTGTTGTAGCTGCAGTCATTGGCAAAAGCAAATAATTGTTGTGTTTCAAAATCTAATTCAAGTCACTCATTGAATCCAACTGCTGCAACTATAACTCTGCATCAATCAGTAAGAGAGATATACGTGCGTTTGAACTTTGAATTAGAGTTATCTAAAATAGAATTGGGATTGTTTTAACAAGCAAGTTGGAGGCAAAGAGTGTCAAAATTAAATGTCTATATCACCCTTTATTTTAACATTTCTTTGACAAAATAGACGAAAATAGAGTAAAATGAAACAAAAATGACAGTGTTATGAGCCAAGTGAGACAAAGCCATTCCTATAGAGAAAATTTTCAATGTGACCGGTACACGAAGTAGTACATCATGTGTCATTATACAGATAATGAAATATATGTATTAAAAAATTAATAACTTAAAAAATAAAATTTCCCACCACTTGCCGAATGAAAAATTTCTCATCCCCATAAGAAATATGTTGGAATGTACTTGAACAACCTGGCCTTCGCCGACACGATCCGCAACAGCCCACTAATTTAAAAAACGAACCCAAAATCTGATCTCTTCCCAGCGGCTCAGACCCAAACCAATACACAATTCTGGCATTTGCGCTATTAGAACCTACACTCTTTCTCACCAAAACCCTAGACCCCCAAATTTGATCCCAATCAGTCACAGCCATGGCTCGTCACAGAGACGAATATGACGACGAGATGGACCCCGATGAAGAGGAAGAATACGAGCCCGACCAAGCTATAGACGAGGATGACGAGGAGGAAGAGGAGGAGGAACGAGGAGGAGGACGACAGCGGTCCAGTCAGAAGCGGAGGAGATCGGATTTCATAGACGATGTAGCAGAGGAGGACGATGACGAGGAGGAAGAGGAGGGCTATGAGGATGACGAGCCTTATGGTGGTGGCGGTGGTGCGAGTCGTAAGCGGAGGAATAAGAGGCCCTCTGGCTCGCAGTTTCTCGACATCGAGGCCGAGGTCGATACCGATGAAGAGGAAGAAGACGAGGAGGGCGAGGACGGTACGCTTTACTGTTCCTTTTTCTACTCTTATTTTGTTTAGTTATTACATTTTTTGTTGGGATTTTACAGAAATTTTGTTGCTTTTTATTGAGATTTAGGGTTCTGAATTTGGACCGGGTTGGAAGTTAGGTTCTAAGCTATTTGGGGATTAATGAATGTAGTAGAATTTTTAGGAGGTGAATGCTGGTAATGAATTGTAATTGATTTGGGAATTGTAGTGTATTAGTATTGTGGGAATCCTTTAATTTTGGGTTCTTCCAAATTTCAAGACTGAACAATGTCTTCTTTTTGTTCTTTTAATATTCTCATTTAAGTTGAACAACTGTTGTTCCATACGAAAGTGAATTTTTGTGTTAATCACGTCATTTGATAGATTGGTTTGCTGGGATGTGTTTTCATCCGTAGTTCTAGTTTTCTTCGTTTTCCTTTGTTAAGCTTTTGACGTTATATGGGTGTATTTGAAGTCTATGGCCCTTATAAATAATCATATGATTCTCCTTGTTCGTTGGATATCGAAGTAAAGGTACAAAATGGTATCATTATAAGGAGAAATGAGTTTGGCATTATTCATACTTACTTTGCCAGAGTTATTTTTCTGTGGTCCCTGTAATTGCAGAGTGATTTTCACTGAATAATATCTGCTAGTTTTTATGAGTTATGTCTTGTATCATGTTTCTTTTTATAATTAGTTGCCATATTGTTTGGGATGCCATGAAATTTGATCCTCTAGATGACTGCCTTGTAATGTCACTATCAAAATTATAAAAGATTAGGAACTGTAATGCAAGAGGTCTATGGGAAGGACTCAATTCTTAGGAGGCATGTGAATTCTTTGTCCAATTTCCCTTCCTCTACACCGGGAGCTGAAGTATACACCAGTAGCCCTGAAATTTGTTTAGAAACTCATGTTCTTGATAGATTAGGTTATAGGGCTACATTTCAAAAATGTCTAGACATTTAAGTATGTCTACAAATGAACTTTGGCCGTTTATTTATTTTTGATGAAAAACTTTGGCATTTATTTAGTTTTCTGTTTTGGGGGGTTTTTTGGTATGAAACAATCAGAAAGCAAACTTGTCCTTTTGCTAGGAAGTTGGTAAATAGGTGTTATGGGGTGATGACTTTCACTTGAGTAATGGAGGGACAAGTGTCTCATATGTCACAATTAATAATGCTATGTATGTTCCTGTTAGAATCAAATATAAAATAAAAAAGTGCTGTTGAATTCAACTTTTTCCCCCTTATTCTCTTGAGTTTGAAGTAATTTTCAATGGAATTCATGTCTTCCAAACAGGTTATGTAGATATCTGCTCCAATTTATTTTATTAAATTGATTTCAATTGATTCTGTGTAGTTTTTTTTTCAAAGGTTTATAGAGCAGTTGTAATTATCTCTTCAGGTGTGCATGATGATTATTTTCCACTTTAGTTTGATAGGGATGTTAAGTAAATAAGAAATCATGGT